TATAAGATGGAAAAGGAGCCTGTTGACTTCGGGTGAACATGTTCTCAATTCGTTGCGTATTTTGACGGGGTTGGTAAGTTTACACATCTCCTTATATCGAGTTCAAGCATCAAGGAATAATGCACGGTCGTTGCCTGTTGCGTTGCGTTCAATGACAGGACGGTCTGTTTTTTGTTTTGTATTGGACGTTTGAGTCGCGTTAGGAGTTACGTCCCTCCGAAGCGCAATAGTACCCCGTTGTAGCTCCATCTTTTGTTGTATTAATTGAGCAATCAATTCAAAGGTTCCGCCTGGTGTAGATTCCATGCGCGTTATTTTGTTAAGATAGTCCCACATATTCACCGGATTCTATTTGCAGAGCCATGTAAGATAACCACAACAGCAATGATAGTAGTAATTATCAATTACTTTATTTTTGTACCAATCTGGCCACTCAGCTGTTTATATAACACTGGACGGGGTAACTTATGTCTGCCTGTGGATGCCCCCCATTATCTAATAAGATCTTCCATATCTATTCTACAAGACACAAGTGCATTTTTGTTGCAATTTCGAATTTAAATACTGTAACAATATCTTCTTTTTATCAAATTCCCTAATTTGTTTCTTTAAAATGAAATGAATTTTAAGAAACACATGTAAAAATCAAGGTCAAGTTTTTTTTCCAACTTCATTTGTAACTATTAGAAAATTAATTTTTAATTTCTTCTTAACAGTGGTGGGTACTTAGGCAAAACTTGATTCTAACTGCGTATAATTTTTAAGCCTCAGTTCTAGAGGAAAGTCAAGTGTGGGTACTCCAAATGAGTCAGATTGGAAGAAAATTTCCGAGCAAAGCATTCAACCTTATCTGCTGTAGATATCAGGACTTCGAACTGATTGAATAGTGGAAGGATTGACTGTTGTTTAGTACACTCTTTGAAGAGTCGTTAGTAATCTCTAGAACCACACTTGAACCGAACTGATCGATGATATACAATGTGTAACAAAAACCTTTCCTCCGTAACCGAATTTCAGGTTTCAGCCTCTATGAAGTCGAAAAAGAGACTGTTGACTTTGGGTGAGCATGTTCTCAATTCGTTGCGTATTTTGATGGGGTTGGTCACCTTCTTGTACCGTTCAAGCGCCTTCCGCACCTCCTTAATGTCGAAAATGGATACGTCATCGGCATACGCAGAAACCGTAGCTCGAGCTCCACCAGGTAAAATGGTGATTCCACGTAGAGTCGGACTGCACGCCTTGTCCATCAGCCGGCGATGGAGGGGCTCCACTGCCAAAATGTAGAGTAAGGGCGATACCGGATAACCCTGTCGGACCGATCGAGACAGCGCAAAATTGCCCGACCGCTACCCGTTCACCTGTAGCACAGCACTGGGAAAGCGATACAGGAGGCTGCTATACTCGCAGAAGTCCGGTTCGAATCCGGCAGCCTGTAGGACAGCTGCCAGATATTGATGGTCAATCCTATCAAATGCCTTGGATTGATCTAAATTGATCAGCGCGGCTCGCTTTTCGTATTTTCACCCTCTATGGTCGTGCGGATCAGATGCAGGTTGCTTTGAATTGTTCGACCCTTCACAGCACAAGTCTGCTAGGGTCCCAGAAAGCTCGCGACAACTGACTGCAACCGACGTCGCAAACAAAGTGTGTCTTCTGGAACGCGGCCACATCCACACCAAAGGAAAGAGATCCCGATGCACGCGGACTGACTTACTCCGTTCTCTTAAGCCCCTTACATTCAAACTAGCTAGATTAATAGATATCTTTTAAGTCTGAGTCCCTTAAACACCGACTGGACGAAAATTTCTAGTTTAAGGGCCCTATATAGAAAGTGGTGGAGAAGAACAATATTGTGACAAGTTCTTTAGCTCTGGAGACTCTGTTTAGGCCTTGCCATCTGTTAGACATTTTCATGACGGTCGTCTTCGAGTATAGAATCCAGAGGTTGGCAGTGAATATTTCGGAGACAGTAGGAAAGCGTAGTGCGGGTTCGCAGTGGGTATCACAGCAGAGTGTAGTTCATCCTTCTCCTGGTCACCTTTGGTCCTTCCGGTGGAGAAAACAAGATGGCCGCCTTTATACACGACGAATACAGTGTTGTGCGGCTTCTGATTGGTCAACCTTCTATTGGTCGACTATAAAGGGAAATAAGTCATTTTGACTCGCTCAAGAGTTATATACGTTGTATACCCCCAAAAAACCGTAACAAACCGTACCAGAGTCTTCTCTGTCGTACACCGACTGCTCTTTATTCCTTTTCAGTATTTTAAAAGTCCTTCCTCCTCCTCCTCTTTGCCCCTCACTGTCTTCAATGATGAGGATCGATGCGAAGGCATTTCCTACACCTCCATATAGAGGTCCAGCTGAGGCAACTCCTCCATGACCTACTGCTACAGCTGCTGCTGATCGTCCATCCCTTCCTAGGGTTGCCGATTCAACTGTTCACGCAGTTGTTCTCGCAGCTTCTGCCGCTGCTGCTGCGTCTGCGACTTCAGCTGCTTATCTGGTTACTTAGAAGCTCCTTTGCTGGGGACCTCCTGCTTCTGCTGCTGTTTGGCAGTACCCTTGTCTGTGACATCCTGCTGTGGAGGCGGAGGTGTCGCCTTCGCTCCTCTCCCTACAACCTCATTCCATTCACCCGGACCTTCTTTCTTGCTTCCACCTTGGGCTGCTCCAGTGTTGGTTGTGTCTGTGGTGTCGGCTTATTGGTTGGACACAACTTGGCCAGGTGTCCAGCCGCACCACAAGCGCAGCAGAAGGGGTGACGACCCTACACAACTAAAACAATGTTCCGGCCGCTGCAAATGATAATGTTGGGTACCTCATTAAACTTGGGTCGAGTCGATGTCACCAGGACATCAAAATCACTGGTGGCAATGCACGACTTGTTTTTGATTAACGATACCTCATCTACTGGACGATAATATGCGAGGAAGGCCCCCAAATGGTCCTCCGTGATATACATGGGTACCCTATGTAAGGTGATCCGAGTTTTTCGGGTGCCCATATACTTGGTTCGGAGCCTCATCTTCTTTGAGGTGAAGGTCTTCCTTGCCAGAGCCTTTGCCATTCTTCAGATGCCAGCTATCCCACATAGCGTTGGGCCTTCGCGCCAACATTTTGGCACCGATATTCAAAGCATTTAGGGCTTCTTCCATATTTCCGCTGGTGACAGTCATTTATTTTCTGGGCTTGACATCGGCCGTCATCAGGGAGATTGTCCTTGCAGCCACTGTCTCCATTTTTTGGGATGCATTCTTTGTATTAATCTCTCAGTCTTTTATAATATTCCGGGTCTTTTGGGGCGTTACCGCCACCTATGCTGATGGTGCCGTTGAAGTTGTGGCCAATGGCTCTTTTTCCTGCAGTACCTCCGCCATGGCGGGAGTGTATTCCCTTCACGAAAAAAGAGCAAAAAACAATAAATAGGTAACACAGACACCTGGAACAAAAACAATTACAAAATTCACACTTGACAAGTTAACACAATATGCAAACAAAACATTCCCAACTAGCGTCCAGTTGGCAAACAAAATTAAACTGGGTTGTAACTTAATATATATCCCCAACGAGATACAAATACAAAAATATTCGGTAGGCAGTTTAGAGAAAAATGCTTCTGAAGGCATTTGAATCCTTAACCAAGAATAATTTGTATTTTAGTTTTTTCTTCAATCAATCCACCTCAAGCAAAGCGACAATGTCACTAAAACGGAAGGGTCTGCTGGGAGTGAAAGAGAATGGAATTGCTTTAGAAGGAACCGGAGACTCACTCATATCTGGGAAACAAGAGATAAACCTCGACAGATTTTCAAAGGCGAAAGTATCTACTATTAGGAACCAAAAGACAATCTTAAACAGGAAACAAGAGATAGACCTCTACTCCTGTTCAAAATACTGGAAATGGATGTAAACTCTGTTCTGTTAGAAACCAGAAAACCAATCTTAAACAGGAAATAATGGATAAATGATCGGGAAGAGTGTGAAGAAAGTTTAACTGAAGGCTCGTGAGACACTCAAGATCGAGGATTAGTATGAAAATTATGAATAAGGCGTGTGTTATAAATGAAAGAAGAGTTATTAGGAGAGAGGGAAGATTAAAGGAGCATAACAAATAAAATATCTGGTAGAAAATCGTTTGTCCAGAAACAAATATGGATGATCAAAAGTTGCATATTTTAAGAATAAAGTTAAATTGAAATCCTTTTATATACTTTCGACTTGCAATAAAAATGTAAAGTAGAAAGGGTATGACAAACAATTAGAAGAATACTAGAGAGGATGATAATCATTTTTCTGATGTTTTAATGATTATGACAAAAGGGAAATGCTGCTGTCATATCTACTACAGCAAGTAAAACTTATAAGTGAGAAAATGAAGTTATTAATGTACGAAATGTTAACAAGCTCATAATTTTCGAAAGCTCATCTTCTGGGATATCTCTACAATAGACTTCACGGTTATAGTTCTAAAGATACAACTGTATCTTCATATTTCATAAAAATGGAACAGTAGTTATTCCTTGATGTCTGCAGTAATTACCTTAGTTCAAAAATATATATTTTGCTTTTATTAAGTACGGGTTTACAATGCCCTGTTCCAAAGATTTTAGTATGTGTTGAATATCACAAAAAAGTACGTAATATATTAAAGTGACTAATAAAAAAACTAATAAATCATGAAAGAAGTGAGGCTGACCAAAACAATGTAAATCCTGAAAAAAGTTGAGTGGGGTGATTTTGTAGGATTATCCGCGGGATTATACTTTCCGGTTAACATCAGATAACTGATTGTTTTTGTTAATATTTGTAAAGAGAGAAAGAAAGAAAAAAGAAAAAAGTGTCTGGCAGTTAGCGTTAGAAAGAGGAAAATGAAAAAGAGAAAAAGAAAATAGCTAAGAAGAGCTAATGAACGGAGGAAAAAAACAATTGAAACAAATAAAATACATCACAAAGAAAGAAGTAAATACAGAAAAGAAAAGTAATGATTTTTAATGTGATTAAAATTGAAGAAAGAAAGAAAGAAAGAAGAAAAGAAAGAGGGAAAGAAAGATAGAAGAAAAGAAAGGGGGAAAAGAAAGAAATAAATAAATAAAGAAGGAAAGAAAGAAGGAAAAACAACGAAAGAAAGAAGGAAAGAAATAATGCAATAAAGAAAGAAACAAAGAAACAAAGATGGAAAGTGTTATAGTTAAAATATTGAATACCAGATTAGGAATGAAAAGGAAAGTAATAATTTTTAATGTGATTAAAATTGAAGAAAGAAAGAAAGAAGGAAAGAAAAAAGAAGAAAGGGAGAAAAGAAAGAAAGAAGGAAAGAAAGAAAGAAGAAAAGAAAGAAGAAAAAGAAAGAAAGAAGGAAAGAAAAAAGAAGAAAAGAAAGGGAGAAAAGAAAAAAAGAAGGAAAGAAAGAAGAAAAGAAAGAAGAAAAAGAAAGAAAGAAGGAAAGAAAAAGAAGAAAAGAAAGGGAGAAAAGAAAGAAAGAAGGAAAGAAAGAAAGAAGAAAAGAAAGAAGAAAAAGAAAGAAAGAAGGAAAGAAAAAAGAAGAAAAGAAAGGGAGAAAAGAAAGAAAGAAGGAAAGAAAGAAAGAAGAAAAGAAAGGGAGAAAAGAAAGAAAGAAGGAAAGAAAAAAGAAGAAAAGAAAGAAGAAAAAGAAAGAAAGAAAAGAAAAAGAAGAAAAGAAAGGAGAAAAGAAAGAAAGAAAAGAAGGAAAAGAAAGAAAGAAGAAAAGAAAGGAGAAAAGAAAGAAAGAAGGAAAGAAAAAAGAAGAAAAGAAAGAAGAAAAGAAAGAAAGAAGGAAAGAAAAGAAGAAAAAGAAAGGGAGAAAAAGAAAGAAAAGAAGGAAAGAAAGAAAGAAAGAAGAAAAGAAAGAAGAAAAAGAAAGAAAGAAGGAAAGAAAAAAGAAGAAAAGAAAGGGAGAAAAGAAAGAAAGAAGGAAAGAAAGAAAGAAAGAAGAAAAGAAAGAAGAAAAAGAAAGAAAGAAGGAAGGAAATAAAGAAAGAAGGGAAGAAGAAGGAAAAACAAAGAAAGAAAGAAGGAAAGAAATAAGAAAATAAAGAAAGAAACAAATAAAGAAAGATGGGAAGTGTTATAGTTAAAATATTGAATACCATATTAGGAAAAAAAAGAAAAGTAATAAAGAAAAAAAAATCATAATTATATAAAATTCAAACAAAAAATTAAAAGAATAGATTTTATTAACTCCCAGCAGATTTTATTAACTCCCAAAAGATTTTTTCTGAAGTTGATTCAAATAATTCATTGAAATATTAAAAGCAACAATGGTTTCTCTTTCATCCTACTGACAGTGTTAATTATTGGAGATATATTCTCTCAGTTTATTCAATATAATCGATCGAATTTTTTAATGATTTAATACGAAAAGAGGAAGTCCGTCTGAAGTATGAAAGAAACTCTTTTCGACAAGATTCGAACACGAAAACAAAGATAGACAAAATACAGGCGCTTATTCAATACGTCATTAATCGATTAAAAAAAAAACTTAGTTATGCAGCAATTACTTAATATATTAAAATAATAAAGACTCTTTAATCATTACGTTTCTATTAAATCTAACAACAGTGATTTTCTATATTAAGGAAACTCATAAGATTCCTCAAACATAAAGAAAGAACTCGTTTCATTTAAATATTTCCGAAACTTTTAAGTCAGTTTGTTCATATTGATTAAAAAGTACTAAATTCTGTTGACCTTTTGCCAGACTAAGATAATTATAGTTTAAATATCGATCAAACAGACGGGAAACTAGTGGAAGTATATTTCGTTAGAATATTCCTGGTTGCCCAACAATGTATATATCAGAATGCTTGTAGGAATTTACGGACTATCAGTGATGGTCTTCGATTATGTTACAAAGTAAAACACCGTCTAGTTTTGTTGGGATGGTGCTTTGAGTAAAAGAAATAATATTACTCCTCTAAAAATGTGCAACTCTTGGAAAAAAATATAGAATGTCATTAAATGTTAATATTTAGAAAAAAATGCTATTTATATTCATTGCTGTGTGGCACCATGCATACCTGACGAGCTGAAAAGAAATATTCATAGATATATGATTTGTTTTTTTTTACGGTTTATCAACCATTTAATAATTATTTAGGGCCGAAAAATATTTCGGGTTTTAAGAATAATTCTTTTTTACGATTCAAGCGATCTGGAAGAAGGAAAGAGAAAACGAAGAAGAAAGAAAGAAAAAATAATACGAAAACAGGTCATAGGCGAGCACACACACGCACGGCTGACAGATGACAGGTGTCGAAAAATATCCAGGTCAAGCATCTAACCGAGATCTGGGGAAAATGGAAGTTGTTATCAATTGGTTGAAGAAACGAAGTTTAGGGACAATGAAAAAAATTGATAAGTAACAAGTGGAAAGTGTGTCATTGGGATGATAGTAAAGTCTAAGGGGTGGGGAAGTGTATCTAAGGATATGAAGGCAAACCATTAATACGAAAACCCAGACAATCTCCAGAATTGGAAAAAGCCACACAAGATGATGTCGCTGAAAATTTTTTTGAGATAATAAAGATTTTTATTATCGGACCTTCGGCCGGAGGAAAATGAAATATTTTTCATTTTCGTTCAAAAAAAACGCCAACAGGTCTGAGAAATCCCTTTCTTAGGTCATATCCAATTAGCGATAAACTGTTTGACAAATACCACGTGTTAAAAAGCCGAAGGTGTCATCGCAGTCGCTCATGATAAGGGCGATTTAAATTAATATTTTTTTTTTTTTAACAAGGTGTTTCTTTCCCCAAAACAAAGCCACGGATTGTCCACACCCGACTAAAGACGTCATTGGCAAATAAGATCACATGACACACGAAGGAGGAGGAAAGATACCCGACCAGGACCTCATTGGCCGAAAGCGGTCACATGACACACGAAGGAGGAGGAAAGATACCAGACCAGGACCTCATTGCCCGAGAGCGGTCACGTGACGCACGAGGAGAATCGGTCGACGCCCTTGTTAGAAGTGGAAGTGTAAGGAGCCGATACGAAGAAGCGGGGAAGCGGGTATACGCCCCTCAGAGGCACAGTAAGGAAGTGGGAGTGAGAGTGAGTTACCGAAAATGGAAAATCCCTAACCAGAAATAAGAAGGGTGGATACGTATTTAGAATTATCGAAAAACCCCTGGCGCCGACAGACCCACCCCAGTTTTGACTGCGTCAATAAAAGCGGGACCCCAACTGACAGAAATCAGTTTTGAGTTTGAGCCGCGGACGGCGGGCCAGGTTCGTTCGCCACTTTGCGGGCAAGAGAGTCCAGTTCGTTTGGCCTAAGTGAAGAAGTCCGTTCGACCCAAGCCGAAGTGAAGAAGTTCGTTCGACCCAAGCCGAAAAGAAGTTCGCGTACCGACGGCGGAGATGAGTGACCAGTAATTCAGACTCTGAAGAGAAGAAGTTAATTCGCGCACCGACGGCGGAGATGAGTGACCAGTAATTCAGACTCTGGAGAGAAGAAGTTTGAGTTGAGCCGCGGACGGCGAAAGAGTTCAGCCGTGGACGACAAGCAGAGATGAGCGCCCAGTGTTGAAACCGCGTCAAGATAGCTGACCAAGATTCACGCACACTTCTGGACTCTTCTTCAACCAAGAACAAGTAGTTTGAAGAGCGACTTAGAATCAGACCACAGAAATAAGTTTTTTTTTCGACTTTCGCCCAAAGACACACCGAAACACAAATTTCTTAGAGAGCAGACAACTGGAAGCCTTAAAGTTGCCTAGTAAAAGCGTCGTGCCACAATCCACAGAACGGGTCGGGAAGTAGACATAGTCCTATGTACCGAGCAAATAGACATAAAAAGTTTGTTACCTTTTTCTTTGATACGTTGAACCATGTGAGTTTTTATTTTATTTTATTATATACATAATTGTGTGTTATCACCCCCGTTAGACTCAACTTGCATTACAGACCCAACCCCTGTTTGATCTCGTCTGTCTAAGATCAATTCACAACGTGGGTAGGCAGACTGGAGATCAGTGCAGTTACCTTGGTAACCAGGCGTTGGAAGCGGGTTGGGAACGACGAGGCTGGTATCAATCTAACCAAAGGGTTAGAACGTCACGTTTGGAGCAGCGAGGAGCGAACAGCTGACGCCGCGGCAAAGACGTCACAGTTGGTGCTGTCCGTGACCAGGATATCAGAGCCTGGGGAGCACGTGACGTCACAATTGGCGCCGCGACCGGGATCGAACGACACAGTCGACGCTGCGACCGGGGGACGACGTCACAGCTGATTGAAAAAGATCGATAACTTTATTAATTGCTGTGGCATATGGCCTAGTGCTCCTGCTATCTATTTAGAGATATTTTTCTCGCTAGAACTATTACGACTGTGCAGTGAGTTCGATCCTCACTGGGTGCGTCATAATTTTGGCCTTGTGCTACAGCTAAGCTACGCCTGGAAAATCACTATATTCATTGTTGATTGAAAAAGATCATTTTCTTTTTAATTGCTGTCTGATATAGTCTAGTGCTCTTGCTATATATTTAGAGATGTTTGATAATACCCAAAGAAAAATCTGCATTGTTATTAGTCCTGACTGGCATTTCGACTTCCGTCACACTCCCACCACCAATGTAAGTTCCCTATGCCTTTTCTATAAATACTTTCATTATAAATGTTCTTCTGAAATCACTACTACATTGACGGTAAAATCTCATCATCTTCCACTCGAAATGACTAGATGGAACCGTAAGTTCTATGCTAACAGTTTCTTCTCTCGCACTTCCCGTTTGCGGAACACTGTTGCGGCATCTTACAATTCCAGGCAATTTGATTTTCAAAAATTTATATGCAATCTCAATCGTTATGTTTACTGTCCTCTTAAATTCTTTTCGTTTATTGTTTTCGCTCCTTGATAATATTTTTCTTATATTCTTTTTAATTTAAAGAAAACCAGGAAATTTTAAGGTTCCATAAGGTTATAATTTATTTCACCAGAGATTTTCTTGTCCCCTCGATCATGTGATATATATATATATATATCTTTCGGAATATCCCAGAAAAATATCTTTTTAATTAGGACAATAATAATAAACAGTAACCCCGAAGTTGTGATATTTGGTGAATATGGCTGATGAATCAAACTTTCTTAGCCAAGTTATAACAATTTTCTGATTGGTTATCATTGTTGCCTGTTGTCTACCATTATCTTGATTTGACTAATTCCTAATATACATTATAATTCTATTTTTCTTATGTGGAAGCCACACATCAAAGTGATTAACATAACCGAATTGGTGCAAATTATTTTCAATATTGAATCTGCATTGATGTGTTCCAGGTTTTCTAAGATTAATCGACCACAAGTTTTTTGACTTAATCGATACTGACTTTACAAATAACTTTTAACATATTCGATCATTTATAAAGGTACAGTCATTTTTATCTTAAAATACAAAGTATAATAAAAGAAATGTACGCTGTACGACAATATTATCGGAAACGATCTTTTAATGAAATTGATTCAAACTAAACACTCCTATTGCCAAAACCGAAACGAACATTTTAGTCTACAATACTTAATTATATGCGAGCTAATTTTCTATCTAATCTTTATATGAGAGATAATTTTCAAAGATGTCTAGTGGTACAAATGTACAGTCGGATATAATGGCAGGATGTTACTGAAACGGAAAAATAATCAAGTTTATCAGAGTACGTGTTTATTTTATAAATTGAATGCCCGGTTACGAAATACGTTTGGAAGATTATATAACGCTATTTGGTTTTAGCATTTTCACCTGTTACAAAATTTGTCGTTTGAAGCTGGACCTTTCTGTGAACTGAACAAATATATGTCAGCATTCATTCCAATGTTTTCAACATGAACTAGCCGACATTTGTTTTAAGACAATGAGAGGATTATTTATTTATCCTAAGATATATTGTCATTATACGGCGGTGATTGTTGTGCTGAAAGGGGTCAACTATTCCTAAGGTCATTTTGAGAGGAAAATTTCTTTTTTTTTATACATTGCCCGATTTTAGAAATATTTGTTCAGATCCTCCTATCGTAACCAGAAGCAAATTCAACGAAATTTGCCTTAACACGTGATATTTTAAGTGTAATTCATCTACACCTGCC